AGTGATGGAGACAGACACGGCCCCTGGCCTTATGTTGCTGATAATCCACATGGAAGAGCTGTCATTCTGGCCTGTGGAACAAGGTAATCTATAAGTGAATCCTGGACAACCAAAAATGCTAAGTGCTTTGCAGCTTGATGAATGGTGTGGAGTCTGGTCCTCTTTGTAAATAGAATTGGGGTCTTTGCAAAAGGTAAAGCTGAATTTTTTCCAAAATTCCAGTCACTGGAAGTCTTAATGAAGAAAATCTCACTCTTTGAGCCATACCTATATTTTTTCTTTTTAATTTTTAAACTATTCTTCTTTTTTTTTTTTTTTTTTTTTGAAACAGGGTTTCCTCTATCACCTAGGTTGGAAGTACAGTGGTGCCATCACAGTTCACTGCAGCCTCATCCTCTCCAGCACAAGAAACCCTCCCACCTCAGCCTCTTGAGTAGTGAAGACTACAGTGGCACACCACCACACCTGGCTAATTTTTGTATTTTTTTGTACAGACAGGAGTCTCTGCTATGTTGCCGAGGGTGGTCTCAAACTCCTGGATGCAAGCGATCCTCCCAGCTCGGCCTCCCAAAGTGCTAGGATTACAGGTATGAGCAACCATGCCCGGCCATCCATGGTTTTTATTAAACACCCAAATCTCCCTAATTCTACTGGAATAAATATGTAGTCACCACCTTACAGACTTTCTGAGGAAGACCCAAATTGTAACAGAGAGATCGAATTAAAAGAGGAAATGAGATGTTCCAGTGTGGTTTAAGGCCAAAGATAATGTGTAAGGAGTAGAAGAGAGGAAAGCACAGTGATTGTGTGTCCCTTTGGAGAGGAAGCTAACCTTCGTTGAGCATTTCCTTGGTTTCACGCGCCATTTATCCATCATTCTTTCAATTCTCCCAACAACCCTGCAAAGTAGACACTCTTACCCCTATTTTACCATTGAAGTAAACGAAGTTCAGGTTGGGAGCGGTGACTCACACCTGTAATCCCAACACTTTGGGAGGCTGAAGTCAGAGAATCCCCCCAGCCCAGGAGTTTAAGACCATGGCAACATAGGGAGACCCTGCTTCTGTTAAATTTAAAAGAAAGAAAGAAAGAAAAGGAAGTTCTGAAGGGGGTGCCTCTCCAAGGCCTCAAACTAAGGAGTCAAGAGCAGAATCCACTCATGCAGCTTCACCTTGGTGACTTTGAACCCACCTGGTCTGACTTACAGGTACGGATGACCTCTAAGACTCCTGCCAGTGTCTCTGAGTCAATGAGTGCACGCTGTCACTCAGCCTGAAGTCAGATAGAAATCAGGAGAGGCAGTTAAGCTGCTGACAATTAAGGGGTTAGAAGTATAAATCAAAATGAGCATTGTTTTATGAATCTCTTTTTATTACTTTCAAGTTTTATTCACCTGATAAGGTAAAAAGAGAATAAAAACAATCAAGAAGGCGAGTCCTTCAATACCCAGATTGCTGCAGCATCTTTTTTCTCATTGTGTTTTGTGGACAGATTAAGTATTAAATTATAAAACTAATCTGTTCAGGTATCAGGAATAATGTCAACTTTGATAAAGGTTCACTCGCTCTGAAGATTACTTTCAAAATGACCTGATCTGACTCAATGAATAATTTAACAATTGATTTTCTGGCAGAAACACTAAAGAATGAAAGGCAAGGCCTCCTAAGATCATCTTGGGAGAAAAAATTTCCTTTTCCCCGAGACCTTTATTTCACCTTAGTTTGCCTGTGATTGGCTTTGATGGGAAGATTCCACCGTTAGTTCCTGATGGACCAGAGTTATAGTTTTTCAGATAGATGCTATCTCTCTTGATGTGAAGATATCTATCGAGGGAAGGGTTGCTTATCGTGTGCCTCACCCTGGGTCAGGCACTAGGGATGCAGAAGCCAGCAGTGTGCATGGGTCCTTACCCTGGCAGAACTCAAGGTCTGGTGGCAGAGGCAGCAGACAGACAGAGACTCAGATGCAGTGTGAGCAATACTCTGGAATCCTGGAGGAGGGACTCTTCCTTCATACTCGGGGCACTCCTCAGAGAAATGCAGGAAGCACAGGAAGTGCAAAGGCCAGGGGGAAAGAGAACGATGGCGCCTGCAGGGAGCTGCATGCATCTGAGCAGTATTTGGGTGGGAGTTTACTGGAAGCCACAAAGGAGGAGTCAGATGTTCTCACTGTAAGTGCAACAGCCACAGATACCAACCAATACAGGAATGTGTTACTGCATCAATGGTGAAAATACTACAGCAGCCATTGTCATCAGAAAATTTCATAATTTTCTAAATTATTGAACAATCCTCAGGTAAGTTCACAATCTGTGAAAGTATAATCAACATTCAATTTGTGTAGTATTTGCTTTTCTAGAAAATGCAGTATATAGTGCGTATAAAACCTGTAAAAGGCAGGGCATGGTCGCTCATGTCTGTAATCCCAGCACCATGGGAGGCCGAGGCAGGTGGATCACTTGAAGTCAGGAGTTTGAGACCAGCCTGGTCAACATGGCGAAACCCCATCTCTACTAAAAATACAAAAATTAGCCAGGTGTGGTGGCTTACACCTGTGATCCCAGCTATTCAGGAGGCTGAGGTGCCGGAATCGCTTGAACTCGAGATGCAGAGGTTGCAGTGTGAGCTGAGATTGCGCCACTGCACTCCAGCCTGGGCAACAGAGTAACACTCTATCTCAAAAAGAAAAAAGAGAAAAGAAAAGAAAAAAAAACTGTGCAGAAAGTTCTTTCAGTATGTAAAAATGGAGTAATGTTCTAGAAACAGATAAATTTTTTTTTTTTTTTTTTTTTTTGGACGGAATCTCACTCTGTCGCCCAAGCTGGAATGCAGTGGCACAATTTCAGCTCATTGCAACCTCCGCCTCCCAGGCTCAAGTGATTCTCCTGCCTCAGACTCCTGAGTAGCTGAGATTGCAGTCGTGCACCACCACACCCAGCTAATTTTTGTATTTTTAGTAGAGGCGGAGATTCACCATGTTGACCAGGCTGGTCTTGAACTCCTGACCTCAGGTGATCCGCCTGCCTCGGCCTCCCAAAGTGCTGGGATTACAGGTGTGAGCCACCGCACCCGGCTGATTCTTTCATGTGTTGAGTTGTTCTATGTGTTTGAGGATGCCTGGTAGCACGGTTCCTCATACACTAAACGCCTCAGTGCCTCACAAACCACAAGACACCCCCAGGGAGTGAGCCATCTTTGTTGGCTGAGGTTAGTGTTCCTGGTCTCTGTGCCCACTCTTCCCCATGGGAGAAAGAGTGACTTTTGATTGGTGAGTTTGGGAGAACTTCATCCCTTCTCTTCTGTATAAATGCCCGGGAATTCCCGTTCTGCCCAGGACTGATGGGAGAGTTAACTCTAGGAAAGAGAGCAAACCCATTAAGCTAATGATTTAAAGACATTCTCTGTGCAGCTTTGTCAGTAATAAAGCTGACATTTTTCACTCTCCGTCTGCCTCTTAAGTCTCATTTTTCAAATGCTTGAAAGAAGCATTGAAGAAAGAAAAGAGCATTTGTGTGCTCCACATACAGCCCATTTGAAGTAAAGGATAGTCATTGTCATGCCAGGAGGGTTGGGGCCATCCAGGACGCATGAGTGGAGTGAGGCGTGAAGACCCCCATAGAACCTCATCACATAGGCTGTGGCTTCTCAGAGGCCCAGGATTCTGGAGGGGAGCTCTTGGGGATTCTGCGAGAGGAGATAAGAGGAGGGAAAGTGCCACCCACTATTTCAACCATAGCAACTGTGGTTTTCTGTGTTTTATATTGGGTTCAAATATACGTAAAATCTCATTTGTTTTTTAAAAAAAAACCTCCACGGCAGAAAGAAAAAAAGAAAGTGTTTGGCAACATCTGAGCTGAAGAGTTGGCAGAGAAAAGAACAGCCCAGGAAGAGTGATAAGGAGGTGCCAAAAATGCAAGAGGAAGGAGGAATATTTGCAGACCAGGAAGCTGAGGAATGGAACTTTTCAAGAGGCAGAAAGTGACCGCAGGTTGGGTAACACCATAGGGAGGTCAGAGAAGAGGAGAACAGAAGAGTGACCACAGCGTTTATTGACATTGTGATCTTGACAGGAACAGGCTCAGGGCAGTGTCAAGGGCCAATCCTAAATGGTAGGGGATTAAGAGGTAAGTAAAGAAGTGAGGAAGTTGAGACCATTTGGACTTCACTGTAAAGAAGATGATGGAGACCTGGCACAGTGGCTCATGCCTGTAATCCCAGCACTTTAGGAGGCCAAGGCGGGCGGATCACCTGAGGTCAGGAGTTGGAGACCAGACTGGCCAACATGGAGAAACCCTGTCTCTACTAAAAATATGAAAATTAGCTGGGCATGGTGGTGGGCACCTGTAATCGCAGCTACTCAGGAGGCTGAGGCAGGAGAATCACTGAACCGGGGCAGGTAGGGGTGACAGAGTTTGCAGGGAGATGAGATTGCACCACGTCACTCCAGCCTGGGTGAAAGAGCAAAACTCCATCTTGGGAAAAAAAAAGAAGAAGAAGATTATGGATCCTGGATGGTATCAGTTTCTCCAGTGCCTACTGGTTGTCCAAAAGGTTCATGCACAAAAGAAATTAAGTTGCTGCAATGTGCTGGACAATAGAGTACTATTTGTGGTAGAAACAGAGAAATCCTTTTTCAAATGTGGTCGAAATAGGAGAAGCAGGGAGTCTGGGAGGGAGTACAACAGCAGATCCTTGCCTTCTTTGCTGAAAGGACTGGTTGTAACCATTTTGTTGTTGTTTCATATTGAAGAGAGCATTAATCTTTCTAGGAAGTCCGTAGCTCAGATGGGAGCTGCAGTTAACAATGCCTCCTCTGTTGCTAACACGTTAATGAATGTTGAATCAGCAGGAGAGAAATGACTTCTCCTCCGCCATATTCCATACCCTGCTGATAGCAAGGACATAAGTGCTGCTGACTGGCTGCCTAATGGTCCATGGAAGTCACTGAGGTGACATGGTTAGTGCTGCAGAACTCAAAAGGGCTTCTTCCTTCATTCTTAGACCCAGAGAAAAGCACTGGGAGGAATGAGAAAGTAGCGACTAGACAAAAATGAAGACTCTTTAAGAAGCATTGCTGAAGTTACAGGGGAAAAAGGTAAGAGTCTTAGTGGTCATTTTCCTAAGTGCAGCTCTGAAATTGAAATGATGTTTGACCACTCCCACATAAAGACATGGCGAAGAGTGAGATATGCTTGCATGGCCTTCTGAACTCCACTGAGCGGAAGACCTACATGAGACATGTTAGACCACTGGAAGGAACAAAGACCCATGTTCTTCTTCTGGCTCTAATTCTGAGCCCATAAGCCACTGTGTTTTCCACCAGTTGCATTCTCTGTGTCTTCATCTACTCATCAACAAAACCAAATTACAGGCCACTATGTGGATAATTTATTCAGGCCTGCCATGTTGCTTAACCAACAGAAGAGAGGAGATTCAAAGGTCAGATGGGAAAGGTGCTTCATGCACTTAAGTTTAATCTCTTAACAACGCGGACAGGCATTATTACCCATCTTACAGATGGTAAAACAGGCCAAAAGAAACAAGTCACTGGCATAAAGTCCCTCAGCTGGTAAGTGACAGAGTTGAGTCAAAAGCCCAGCTATGTCTAGCTGTGAATAATATAAAATGAATGAGTGATAATTGAGTGAATGATAAGAATAAGGAATTAAACTTATAATATGTTTTAGACATTTTAAGTCTAATTAGGGACTTTTTTGTTTGTTTGTTTTCTTTTTTGAGATGGAATCTCACACTGTCGCCAGGCTGGAGTGCACTGGTGCAGTATCTCCACTCACTGCAATCTCCACTTCCTGGGTTTAAGTGATTCTCCTGCCTCAGCCTTCGGAGTAGCTGGGATTACAGGCTCATGCAACCATTCCCAGCTAATTTTTTTTTTTTTTTTAAACAGAATCTTGCTCTGTTGCCCAGGCTGGAGTGCAGTGGTGCGATCTTGGCTCACTGCAACCTCTGCCTCCCTGCTTCAGTCTCCCGACTAGCTGGGACTACAGGCGTGTGCCATCACGCCCGGCTAATTTTTTTATATTTTTAGTAGAGATGGGGTTTCGCCATGTTGGCCAGGCTGGTCTTGAACCTCTGGCCTCAAGTGATCCGCTCGCCTCAGCCTCCCAAAGTGCTAGGATTATAGGCATAAGCCACTGTGCCTGGCCTAATTAGGGACTTTTGTTTCTTTCCCTGTTTACTTTCAGAATCACTTCTTTGCCCATAAACAACTAGGAGCCAGACAGTCCTGTCAGTGGTCAGAGATTCAGTGCTCAGCAAATGATGAGTAGGCAAGTTCTCGCATCTCCTTCCTATGGCACAAAAATCTGTGCAAGATTTATGAATCTTAAATGTCCACAAACCATGGGAAGTATTAAGTGGAAAGCAGATAAAGAACGCTATTTTGTTGTTAAATACATTTTGATATATCCACAAAATGGAATGCAACCATTAAAAAAACATGATGTTAAAGAGCTATGAATGGTTTATTATAATGTAAAGTGGGAAAAATGTGTGTGGACATTGTTAATAATAATTGACATTGGGAGATGAGATCATGAACAATGTTTTTGTTCTTTTCTGTACTTTCTTGTGTTTCCAACATTTTCTTTAATTAGTATTCACGGTTTTTATAATTGAAAAATATGGGCTGGGCATGGCGGCTCATGCCTATAATCCAAGCACTTTGAGAGGCCAAGAGGGGCGGATCACTTAGTCCAAACCTAATGACAACTCAACTTTTCAGGGAAATGCAAATTAAATTTGTTCTGAGATCATCACTACGCATTCACCAGAATGGCTAAAATTTTAGAAACTGACAGTAGCAAGTAGAAGCAAGGAAGTGGAGCCAGGGAACATTCAAGCACTGCAGATGGCAAGGGTCCAGTGAGTGACTGGTAAAACCATTTAGCATTACCTTCTGAAAACAAATACCTGTCCAACACCTGGCAAATCCACTCCTAGGTATAAACTCAAGAGAAATAAACACATATATCTACAAAAATATGTGTACATGAATGATTATAAGCAGCTTTAAAATTGAAAGTAATTAGTAGCCAAAACCAGGAAGCAGCCCAATGGCCATCAACAGGAGAATGAATATTGTGGTCTGTCCATACAATAGAACACTACACACCAACAACAAAAGAACAAATGACTGCTACACAGAATGACAGGAATGGGCCAGCACAGTGGCTCATGCCTGTAATTTTAGCACCTTGGGAGGCCGAGGTCAGAGGATTGCTTAAGGCCAGGAGTTCAAGACCAGCCTGGGCAACATGGTGAAACCCCATCTCTACAAAAAATACAAAAATTAGCCCAATATGACTGCAGGAACCTGTGGTCCCTGCTAGTTGGGAGGCTGAGGTGGGAGGTTCACCTAAGCCCAGGAAGTTGAGGCTGTAGTGAGCCTTGATTATGCTACTGCACTCCAGCCTGGGCAACCAAGCAAGATTCTGACTCAAAAAAAGAATGACAATAATGAATCACACAGAGTGTTGAGTGAACTAAGCCCACACAAGAGAATGATACACAGTGTGCATGATTTGGGAGTGTGATAAAGACAGCTCATACTAGCTCATGAGAACAAGTTATTCCATACATTTTGAGGAATTTTGCAATCCAATCATTAAATACATGCTTTATTTAAAATTAAATTATATAAACTTACAACTAAATAAATTGCATATAAAATAAAGGTAGTAAATACTCAAACCTCATCACTTCCTAATTATTTTACAGCATTTTTACTCTTCTCTATGCAATTGAGATTATTTGCATCTATTGTATCCATTTGGTGGAAATAATATATATAATTGTGTTCTACTGTACATATATTTCCAATACCATGTTCAATAATCACACCTTGATAGCTTCAAATCGGCTGTGGCGATTGCTAGAAAAATTGACAAAGGTACAGATCAGGGTTCCTCCTCTTCCTCCTCCTCCTCCTCTTCCTTCCTCTCCCCTCCTCCT